CATCTTCCCTTCGGAGCTGGTGAGCCGGGTGATGGCCAGGAGCCCCCACATCACAGACCCCCAGCAGCTGGCGGCCGCTATACTTGCGGAGAAAGCTCAAACAGGATACTGACAACTGAAGGACGAGTCCGTGTATCATTATGAAACAACAGCAGTTATGTAGTCTGAGTAAAAATAGGGAAACACAAGCTGGGCCTTCGCATGGCGGAATTTTAAATCCTGGAATGCTTTTGGATTGTCTGCAGGGAGAGCTTTGTCTTTCCTTATGACATTAATGCCTACGTTTTAAGGATATGAAATGCTGAAGATAATCCAAAACCAGCTCTGGTCACTGCGCAGCAATGACTAAATCTGTAGGAAGTGCAGGCAGAGCGAGTCATTTGACGAAATCTATGACACAAAGTGCAACTTGTGGAGATTGTTCCAGACCTGCCCAGTTAGCCTTTTTTTATTTGTATTTATTAAGTAGCTTATTAGACGTGTCTTTCACATGCAGGACTTGTTATGCATCAAATTCAAAAGGCACTTTTTGTGTTTTACAGCCAAATCCGTGAGTTGGTATTGTATAAAATCTGAGGGATATGAAGGATTATTTAAGCATCCATCACCTTTTGACCAGAGTCGAACAGTTTGCGCGACATGGACGGGATTTTGTACTTCATAATTATAAAGAAATAAGTATGTAAACATGATTTTCTTATGTGGCAAACCCACATCTGGTACTCCATCCTCACATGACAGTTTCAAACTACTATTTGACCGAGGTCTGTGTATTATATTAATCTCTTTGTGTGACGTGCGGCCATTTGTGGGGCTTTTTCCATGTTGGTAAAAATGGGTGTTCGAAGGGTAGTCGTCTTATTTGAGATGACGTATTGAGTATTTTGGTCAGAGTTGTAGCTGTAGAGATGGGTGACCCTGTCATGTGTACCTTAGTTTTAGTAAGGGACATCTCTCTCTCTTTCTCTCTCTCTATCTCTCTCTCTCTGGCCCTTTATTTTGGGTCAACTCTGGTATCTGCTACAGACAGAACACGTGGACATCAGTAAATCATGTATGTAATGTAAATATATTTAACGGACTCCCCTGCTGTGCTTTTGGCCCACAGCGGCTGCTGTTGTCTGTAGCAGATCCCAGCTGAATCCATGCTAGACAGAGAAAAACCTTGTTTGATACAAATTGTATCATTAAACTACGTACATGGACTTGTTGATCCGTATCTATCAAACACTCTTAATGTATTGCTATACGATGAAATGCATTGACAACAGTTGTGTTCCAATCGAGATGTTCCAACTTTTAATCTTGTGGAAGTTGCTTTGAGACAATTATTTCAGGTTTGTTAAGAAACAAAAGGAGCTGTCTGCCTACTATGTTTAGGTACCACAACTTCTTTATCTGCATTTTGGGTTTGAAGCTGGCTTATTTTCTACAGGAGCTCCAATGAAACGACATGTGAGGAATACGCTGTGGTTGGCCGGTTAAATGCCCATTTGAAAGCAGACGTGAATCGGTCTGTTTTTCAAGGTGAGGTTGGGGTCAGTTCATTAAACATTTTTTTAGCCTCTTTATTAAGTTCAGCAGTGGATATCTTTTAAAGTAACATTAGACATTACGCTTGAAATAATAGAGAATTGATGTCGTATCATTGACTAATCTATTGTTTCTATTACATCATGAATTGAGTGGACAGACCCCAACCATGTTTAATAAGTAAAGATCTATATTTGGGTCAGTCCCATATCCCATGGCGGCCATTTTGAATGCTTGTAGCACTCTACCAAAGCTCCAGCGAGAGTAATTGCGAGTGGAGTGCTTCAGGATGAGTCGGAAAACCCGAAATGAGTGAGCATTTTTGCACTCCCGGTTTTCTCGTCTCAAAAACAGCGGGTTTTTGGTTTGGTTTCTACGATATAAAAACATCAGTAAATACGCCACTCTTGATTTTTGTTGCCTTTTCCTTAAAAATACGGTTGCTAACATTCGGCTAAACGAGACCACAGAGCATCATAACACCAAACAGCTTTAAGCTTCATTGTGGTGGTGACGTTAGCATGTGACCACGTTAGCTTGTCTGGCAATTGCATTTACGCTTCAGAAATCATAAAAGTGGTGTTAATTTTTTAAGGTTAGCAGGATGTTTAGCTAGCTAGCATCCTTGCTGCTTTCCAAACACAAATGTGGAAAGTTTGATATTTTAAGGACAAAATATTGAAATGTCTTTGGTCACACTGCATTACAGGGTGGTAGCTTGAAAAAAAATTACATATAAATGAAGAAAATGTTTTAATTTCTTCACACACGGGAGGCTACCTAAGCACTTAGTTAGCTAATATTAACAGCTAAAGTTTCTCTTATCCTTGACCTTGCTATCATGGCCGAAAAATTGAAATTTGGAAAAACGCTGCACTTCTATTAGTTGGCCGTTAAATATTCTGAACGCTGTATTAGCCTTTCTTCGACTAGCTTAGCTGTGCTTGATCAGGGAGAGCCCCAAGTTCAAAATGGCCGCCAAGGATTCAAAGTCTACAGAGTGAGCTCGTCATACAGTTCATCACAAGCCAGCTCCATAAAGCCCACTGGTTTCTTTCCTGTCCAACGTGTCCCATTGTACAAACGATGAATAATGGTACAATAACACGTGCTGTTGATGAGAGAGAACCTTTGTGTGTATTGAAGAAGCGCCTTCTCTCCGGCCTCCTGGCACTGTGTGTCAGCGTGGCACCTGAGCGTGGGCCCAAAGTAATGCCTCTTCATGGCATTGTGCTTATGACACATCCAATACTCTGAACTATGTTCAGCTAACTGTTATGCATGTTTTGATTTGTTTTGGTTTTCTGCATGTTTCCTTGCGTTTAAGTTGTGTACATAGCTGTGTTTCTGTCCTGGAAGCTTTGTCTTGCCGTGATTGTAGCTGTCGCGATACTTCCAGGCGTACTTATCAAAACCGGCTTGTTTTTCTGCTTGTTAGTGTTTAATTTCATATATCAGTTAGTATTGATTTCAGAACAAGGCTTAAATAAGGCTTGACATTTACTCCAAAGGACCAGGAAGCATGTTTTGGAATGCATCCCACTTTTCTCGTACACTCGGCCACGGTCAGTGATAATGGACACCATACTGATTCATTGACTTCTGTGCTGTAGATATAATGCTGTACAGGCCGCGACATCTTCAGTTTCAAATTATACTTACATTTTGCCAGTAGATTAACTGTAACTAATTGATTATTGTGACACTCAGTTGTAACTGTGATTGTTCAATAAAGAGTACTGCTACAAAACGTGATGTTAACCATTGTTGTTATTAAGAATTCACAATTTTAGTTTAATTACTGAGAACATTTTATGTACCTAGCATAGCATGTCTCATTCTCATAAATGTGATATCTCAAGAACACCTTGAGGGAGTCAACGACGAACTGATTAGCTACAACTTGGTAGTCAAAGGTTGAAGGTCAAGGCCACTGTGACCCCGTCTATTGTGTCCTTCATTGTCAAATGTTCAAGGATGGCAACGTTGGTTCTGTCTGCAAAGCCATTAATGTGTTTCTGTTTTCAAGGCGTTAATAACTCGACAGAAGTTATCTCCTTCACGTCTACAACTCGTAGTCTGATAGAGGAGCAACTTATTAGCACTGGTATGGTTGAATAATCAAGGTTTTAAGATTATTTTGTGGGGTTTATGCCAGAACTTGCGCTGTATTCTAGAACTTAAAATTATAACATTTAATTTACGGGGTGAAACAGTATTTTTAAAGGATTTATATGCATGAATGGGATTTATAAAATATTTTAATCTGCTTTCAGTTTTTAATCAATAAACTTGCCCAGAACCAGAAAATACCCAGACAAAAAAATCACAACTTCAACAATTAAAAATGTGTAAAAAAAAATGAATCATCTTTGTTTTAAAATATATATAATTTTTTGTAAAAATGTTTACCCTTTAAAGATGTGTCCCAGATTCATTATCAATGCCATCAGCTTTCCATAAAAACATTATTTAATCAGCCATATAAGGGGTTAGGGCTCCTGTCTCACTTCCTGGTTTCCAAAAAGGCAGGAATGCTGCTGAAGTTTTGCAATGCTTTGTAATTTTAATAAATTCATTAAATAATATTGGGCATAATAAATCCAAACTTAATATAGAAATTAGTGTTTTGATAAGTATCAAGAGAACTCTTGGCAACTTTGAAAAATAAAATGGCTACTCACTACGACTGCTCTCCGTCAGATCTAACCTCTGACTTTTATTGTGTATGGTATTTAAGAAAAGAAATTAAATTAGAGAGTGGTTGGCCCTTTACAAGGTTTAATAGTCAACACTTTTAGCTTTTAAAATGTATTTTCCCAGCCTAGTTGAAGAGTAAAAATTGAAAAGCCCCATATGTATTGTTTGGTCCCAGTTCTCAAGAATGAGTGTTAAATCTTTTTCCCCTTTCCGGTATGTCCAGTTCCCTCTTTTTATTGGTCATGGAAGTGCAAAACTCAGCCACATGCTGACTGTTTGTTTATTCCACATCACACGGATACCATCTAGGAGTCCAAAGCTCTGCAAAGCCCAGGCATGGATGGGGATTGAACCCATGATCTTTGGTTTACGAGACCAACGCCTTACCACTTGGCCACCATGCCTGTTATTGGGCTTATTTTTTTATTATCATATTGAGATTTGTAAGTATTCAGGTGTAGTTTATTGTCTTGTGGGTTTTCTGTTATTCAACAAATCAATATAGCACACAACAACATCTTTTGTTCCCTTGGGTTCTGGTGTTCTTCTGGATGCCACTTGACACACAGCAACCACCCAAACACGGCTGCAGACCAAATTGTCAGGTCCTTGATGGCAGCGGCCCCCCAGCAGGACAATGTGCCACGCCCCAATGTGGATTGGACTTAGTTCTGACCCGCCATATTTTTGTAAATATACACCTATTTTGAATTTGATGCCTGCAACATGTTTCAAAAAAGTTGGGAACAGGGCAACAAGAGACCAGGGAAGTTAGTTGTCATTTAATCCTTTAAACAACAAACATCAACACAACAGAACAGCGAGTTAGTTGCTTTATTGGTCATCTGCTGTGACAGGACTTCACACATTCTGTAAGTGCTGAAAGAGTATCTGTAAGATGAGCGGCGACGTTTCTTCATCTCACTCAGCCTTCAGTCGCTCGGCCTCAGAAAGCCCTTCATCGGGACATCAACACTTTGGCTTGGAGAGCTATTAAGCTGTAAAAGAGCAAAAATACATTTCATGTGTTAATCACATTTGGGTAGGTATTAGCTGTAAATCTGCATGAACAGATATATCCTCCTGTTGTCCTTGTTCATAGACACTTGTAGTGCCATCTAGTGGTAGTAAGACCACAATACACCAATCTATGTAAAAACAAGATGGCGGCCATCTCTGCCAAGTCAGTGTTCAGCTGATCCTGAAACAAAAGTGGACAAGGTACAAAACCTGATCAAATGTAATGGTTGAAACTAATTTATTTATGATTAATAATGTTTGTAGTTTGATATGGCAACAAAATTGACCTATTTTAACAGTGGTAGCAGCTATCTAGTAGAAAGTACTCGTTGGAGGACATCAGGACTTTGTTATTGTCTTGTTTGAGGACATTTGGACTTTACTGTCATCTCATTTGAGGACTTGGGACTTTATTATCGTGTTGAGGTAATTAATTTGAATAGGTGTGGCAGCTCAGGTCCCTGGCATGCAGGTAGAGAGAGAGAGGCTGGCTTTGATTAGGAGGTTCAGCTGGACAGGTGAGCTGTGGCCTGCAGGGAGACGAGCCAGGGAGATGGTTGATGCATCAATGCTTAGATGACTGCAGAGAAGCTACTGGTATGTATGCTTTTGAATGATAATTATTAACTTGATCTGCACAAGTAGAATATGTGTTTGTGTTAATAGTTTCACTCATTCATTCATTGTGGTGCAAGTTATTTTTTGGTTTGGTTAGAAATGTTTGTTCACCTTATTTAGCCGAGCATGTCATGTGTTTGTGGTTTATGTCTGAGTTGTGTTTGGTGGCTGAAGATAGTTTAATTCTATTGATGGATTGAATTTGATTAGCTTGATAGCAGGATCTATAGTTCAGTGGTGTGTATATATTCATTTAAAGGTTTAAGTTGACATGACTCAATTGTGAGTTCGTTTGCTGGATGGAATTTGATTAAATTTAGTGATTGATAATAACTTACTGATTTTATTTGAATTGAAAGTGGAAGTAATAAAAGAGAATTTCCATATTTAGAAAACTGGTTAAAAGTGCGATTAAAAGTAATTTTGTGATTGTTTAAAATAGGTAAATAATTTAAATTTATTTTTTTATTTATTTAGAATATAGATGTTTGGTTTGCAATAGTATCATTGGCAATCATATAAATATATTAAATAGATATTTAGTATAACATGAATTTGATTGTTAAAATTAATTATTGGGTATATTTTGTTCACAGATAATGTCTGATTGGTTATGATTATTGATTTAACTTGATTGATTTAACTTAAGTGATTAACATAAAAGATTTCAGTTAATTGAAAGTTGACTGATTTAATTAACATGATTTTATGGTCTTTTCTTTAAGGTTATCATCCTATTACTGACTGTTTCTTTCTCTGGAAACCAGCTGCTTCATTAAAGAGAAGGAAAAACGAGCGGAGTTGTTCAGCTTCCTCTGTCGTCCTCTATGCCGGAGTTTAGGCAGGCATTGAGGTTGAAAACCAATTTTATTGTCGCCTTTTTTGAGAACATTGGGACTTTATTATCATTGACAATATTTAGTTTTTATACTTTTATACCAGGTCCTACTGATCCCAAATAGCTAGGAGAAATTAAAAATGCATACCAAAGAAAATTTGAGGTCTCAGGAGGATATATATGTACAGTGCAGTGGGTAAGTAAAGTTAAAACACTTGAATCTACAGGTATATCAAAGTGACAATGACAATTGGCAGCGTTTGTCAGCTGTAGTCAAAACTCTGTTTTAAAAGCAACATGGGACACCTGCAGTGACCAAAGAGGCCCAACAGAGCTGCATCAGTTCAAACAAAAGCTAAATTATTTAACCATCAATTCTTTAAAGTCACTACTACATATAAATGTAGAAAAAATGCACTGGCAAGAAGGTACAGTACTTCATATGTGACCAACTTTAACTGAAAGCAATGCAACCCAATATGACACAGTGTTCACAACAAACTTTAAGTCCTTATTCAGAAGGTGTTTAAGTATTATGTCTATCACTGTCAAATTTTGAAGCATCTTTAGTGTTTATCCATTGCTTACCTGCTGCATTGGGCGCTTGTGTACTGTGGTCATGTGAATCAGGCGCATGGGTACCGTGCTCATGTGAATCAGGCGCATGGGTACCGTGGTCATGTGAATCAGGGGCATGGGTACCGTGGTCATGTGAATCAGGGGCATGGGTACCGTGGTCATGTGAATCAGGGGCATGGGTACCATGGTCATGAGTATCAGGCGCATGTGTACCATGCTCATGTGAATCATGCTCATGAGTATCGAGTGAAGTTGCATTAGACGCAGTTGCATTGGACACAGTTTCGTTGGACACATCTGCATGGGAGTGAGCAGGTTCCTCGGTAGCAACCTCATGTTCAGTATCTTCAGCTTTCTCCTGTATCACAGCCACAAACAGACTCGGTCAGAGATGCAACGAGATTTAAAATTTCTGATGTTAATATTTCACATATTTACTTAAATGCTTTCAAGATTGGGTTGAACACTTTAAAGTTAGTAATGTGTCAGTCCAGAATTGTTAACCATGTCCAACGGTGTCATACGTAATTAAGTAATTAGTGCCATAACTAAATCAGAATTGGCTGAATAGATCGTTTAAAAGACTTTACATACATAGAACCAGTATGACAGACTTAAAAGAGACAGTGAGAAAAAGAATAGCATATAATCTACCAAAAGTGCAAAAATGCCTAGAGCCACTCACCTGGCTCACCTCAACAGGGACGCCCTGGAGGGTCCAGGTCCACCCCAGGAGCAGCACACAAACCACAATCAATGCTGTCTTCATCTTAACAGTCTTCTTGTTCCCCCACGTCTGATATGGCTAAATCAAAGGTGATATAACCGCCTCCTGGCCACACGGTTTCTTATATCCCTGTCTCAGCCCACACACGGCGCTGACCTGTAACCTGCTTTCACTCCTACAGCAGAGTAAAAAAACAAATGAGTAAAGAGAGCAAAGTTCTTGTGGGTGCAAAATCAACAAATAACGATGTTGTTTTTTTAAGTCTAGGCCTCGACCAGACCGTTGAGATGTCACTTCATGGCATTTGTAAAAACAGGGGGAAAAAATCAAAATGACAGCATATATCAATTTGTTACCATGGAATTTATAGTATTACTAGTACTAGCATTATTTCCACATATGTATCATTAAATTTCAATTAGCAGCCCAGCCTATTTGCTTAAATCACTGGACTCAGCAGGCGTATATTAGGGACAGGCCTTTAAATCCTTTTACACAAAACTGTCGCATGGCACCCGTCACACTGATACAACACCACTTTATCTTGTTAAAATAAAACTCATACAAACTGCAGAAGTCATTATTTACAATTATAATACTGCCAAAACTGTGTGGGGTACAGTAAGGTCCATTTTTTTTCTTTAGTGTACCCCAAAGTTACCCAATATATAAAAAATAAATCATTTAGGGGCTGTTTTTTTATTCATCAGAGAAGTTTTGTTTTTTGACCCTCTGCGAAGCTCCAAATATTTGCCCTTGAGCCTCCCTCAGTGACTGGGGGAAAGTGTGTGACCCTCCCTCCACCATGAATTAGGCATTGGATTTTTAAACCGTGTTACAGTCTTGTTTTTTTCTTTTGTACTTAAGTAGAAGTAAAAACCTAAAAAGCTGGGGTAGGCAGAGATCCAGAGAGGCAAAAAAAACAAAAGCAGAATATGAAAGTTTGTCGCCCTCCTGCAGCTCCCCCCTCACTGTCTTCAGTCCCTCCCAACTGACCCACAGTAACCCACAGTAACCCACAGTTTCCCACAGTTTCCAATATACTGACTGACTATCATTAGCTGCTAGTCACCACATGGTCCCTCTGCCTTGCTCCCCGCAAATGTGGACTGCTTTCTTGGTAGGAGAGTGGGCACTAGCTCAGGAGATGGAGCTCTGGTCAGCAGCTTAATTAGCTTGAATTTGGCCAGCGCAAACCCCCAAGCATGAAGTGTTACAGCAGGCTGGTTACCAGCGGCAGCACCAGGTCTAATCTGCGTAACAGCAGCAACAGAAAGTTTGCTGATCAGGCGGGGAGTCGGGGCTGTCTGGTACGTCATAGCTGGGGTTTGCACTGGCTGGATTCACGGTTGTTGTGGCTGCTGACTGGGGGTCAGTCCTGAAAGCTGCTGCCTGCTCTCCTCCCAGCGAGGTGGTCTGTAGCGGCAGGAAGTGAGGCGAAGGACACACTGATTCAACAAACTAATATTAGCTACATTAACAAAAACATGAAGCCGCAGCTGTAAGCCTTGAGTTCGTCTTAAGGCTCAGTTATGCTCAACGTTAAATACGGATCTGGATACGGACGGAACCTTCTGTCCGTGCTCTGCGTTCATTTCGTCCGTATTTCTGCACGTTTCCATAAAGCTTACGGATACGGGCCAAACGGAGCAGTACCACCAGGAACCGTGGGGGCAGAGTTGCTGTCACTACCCAATACGTAGCTCCAGTGAGACACAAAGAAGAAATAACGATTCAATTTTTCTCATCGGCAGTACTAGAGAAAAGAATTCTCCGTCCTCCAGTCGCGATGTATTTAACGGCCTCACCGACCACCGCCTCCTACAACGCTGCCTCTGTTTTTGTCTTTTATGCAAGAGGTACATTATCAATATCTCCTCCACAGTCGCCATGTTTGTTTTTGAGTTTGTTGTTGTCATAAACTTTTGACGCTGGGCTGCCCCCTGGTGGATATATTGGTTAACATCCATGCCAGCATAAAGGGCGCATGGAGGTATGTGGGCAGTGATGGCAACATCGTTTGTAAAGGGACGTATACATTTTCGTACATAAAGGGAGCATAAATGAGCCTATATAAGTCACATAAGTAGCAGGAAAGTCTGTATAGAGTGGGAAGGAGGGGTGGTGGATGGGTCCAACAAACCCCAGACTTTCACCCGGGAGCCTAGTGTTTGCTTCCTGAATGCCAAACCAAGGTGTTTTTTTCTAAACCCAATCATGTGCTTTTGTTGGCGTCCCAGTGTTGGTAGCGCGTCAATACGTCAATAGCAGATGCAGAAAAGGCCACTGACAAATAGGTGATATATGTATGTATAGGAGTTTTTTTTTACTGGTAAAGTAGTCACTCTAGAATGTGTCTCGTGGCAATGCAATGGCAATGGAGATTATGGCAATTTGGTCAATAAATGGTAGATACCACACATTATCCTAGCGGTCACAATTGTGACCGACCATAAAACACACATTTACACCTACTTTCCCATGAACATTTAAAAAACAAAAAACAAAAAAGATTGGCTATTTCAAAGGGTTACCAGTGGCAGATGATTTGGATAGTTTTATGTCTGGAAAAAAATTATGATTAAACAGGTTAAATCTGGCTTTCACCAAAGGGATGTCTGCATTTGTAGAACAGCCAATATGAGCAGCCTTTCTCTAAATTGACCTTAATTGGCCAAACTCCCGTCACAGGCTAGATTTACTAAAGCCTGAAAACAGAGCCCAGAGGAAGTGCAGAAGTCTTGTTCTCTCTCAGACCACTTAAATTACAATATGCTCAAAGTTTATAATGGGATTTATTGCACAGTGACAATAAGATAAAACAGCATTAAGAGTATAATTCATTTCTCTTTTCCTCTAAAATGGTCAATTGTTACTCCCTTTACCCCATAATTTTGTTTTCTTCTTCTGTACTTAACATTCAAGCAGCAGTAGGAACCTGTAAGTATGTTATTGGGTGGAAACATTTCACCTTTTGCTACATTACTTACTTAGACAAGCAATTGATGATCAATTTTTGTTTATTAGCCTTTAAATTATACTCTGTAAAGATTTTCCCTGCATTTCCATCGTCAATCTCACCTACTATTTTCATAGTTTCATCCAAATAGCATCTGTCCCTTCTGTATATGCAGTTGTAGCAGATGTTATGCAGATGTTTATTGGCTTTGTGTTCCTATAAAACAAATAGTTAGCTTTTTGATATCTGAAGTCCAATGTCCAAGTGGTCAGTTGCCCAAACATGTCAGATGACACACAGTCCAAAATACAAGATTGTCACAAATTCATTTACTTTGGCATAGGAGTAAATACATTTGGGGGCAGCACAGCACGAGTCACAGGTCGTTGCACCGTCTTGGCTAAGAAAAGAGGTTTTAAATGTCAGATGGTGATTCACAAAGTCAAGGATAGATCTTTAAATTGCTGAATTTCAAGAATGCTACATCAATGAATCCTGCCAAACTCTACCAGGGACCGAGTCCGTCCTTCAGGATATTTTTGAGATAGCATGTGTGCACTCTCAGCGGGGCAGAAGAACCCACAATTCTTTGTGTACCATTTTCCAAGATTGAAGGCAAAGCCTCTTCAAATGATGCACACCTGGGCACTCGCTAGCCTGTTCCAATTTCTGATCACCATATGTTAGGAAAGGGTCTTGCCTAGCCTCTGTAGGACCTGACTTCTCCTACCAAGGAAGCATCCTTGACTTTGAGAAGCACTGATTGTATCTCTGGTTGATTCTGTCTATGGCTGTGATACAGTTGGAGAGTACTGTGGAGCCCTCTGCAGATGTGGAAGGTCATACCTTTGATGCAACTCTGTCCAATACAACTCTGCTCAGTACAACTGTGTCCAATACAACAGAGAAGAGATCATCCTACTCAGTGGATGAACTGCATACCACTTATTGTACAGTGATGACAATGAATGTGTGCTGAATGGTAGACCATGACGTTTTTTTGTAAATTTTGGACGACACACTATACTATGATGTTTTTTCATGATTTTGGACAGCACGCTATACCTGGGCTATTCATTTACAAATTCAACAGTTTTTAAAGCCAGAAAATGCCAATGGGCCACATTTTCAGCATGTGTCTATATGGCTCTCCTTAACATAATGCAGAAACAGAATAAAAAAGAGCCATCAATGCATAGAGGCAAACTCTCACTTAAAGGCAGACCATACTATGACTTTTTTTTCAACATACTGTACTAACACATTTTTAAAGACCACTATCCAGAGGAGAGAATGGAATATCTCAGGCTGTTGAAGAGCTGCTTGGGTATTCTGAGATCGGAGTTTCGATCCTTATCCAGGGCAGGTGAATTTATGAAGTCCAACGCCCAAATAAAAAGGTTAAATGCACCCGGAGAAAAGGCTGTTTGTGTAGACAGGATAACTCAGTGGTTAAGGCAACTGACCTTAGTGTGGGAGACTGGGGTTCAAATCTCCTCAGGTTGATGGTTTGCTCCTTATCCAGGGCAGGTGAATTTATAAAGTCCAACGGCCAAATAAAAAGGTTAAATGCGCCCGGAGAAAAGGCCATATGTGTAGCAGCAGGATAGCTCAGTGGGTAAGACTGGTGGCCTTAGTGCAGGAGACTGGGGTTCAAATCTCCTCAGGTTGATGGTTTGATTCTTATCCAGGGCAGGTGAATTTATGAAGTCCAACACCCAAATAAAAAGGCTAAATGCGCCCGGAGAAAAGGCCATATGTGTAGCAGCAGGATAGCTCAGTGGTTAAAACAACTGACCTTAGTGCAGGAGACTGGGGTTCAAATCTCCTCAGGTTGATGGTTTAATCCTTATCCAGGGTAGGTGAATTTATAAAGTCCAACGCCCAAATAAAAAGGATAAATGCGCCCGGAGAAAAGGTGATTTGTGTAGCAGCAGGATAGCTCAGTGGGTAAGGCTACTGGCCTTAGTGCGGGAGACGGGGGTTCAAATCTGATGCTACCATATGCACGTCATGGCACGGCATGGGGGAGCCAGGACGCCAGGAAAAGTGGGGATGTCATCATCCCCCACATTGAGTAAATGATTAATGCACACTTCACTATAAAAAGTTTAACAGTAACCTGTAACACTAATAAACTATTGTAATCTACATCTAGGACA